CTGAATGAAAAGATGTCTTGACTTTTGATTACAAAACAAAACCTCAGTCAAGGAAGAAGCAGACTGAAGGTGATGTGAGGACAATGGTGGGGAAAGGCACCCAGGTGGAGAGTTCCTGATGACAACATATATGACCTTACTTGTGCGATGCACATATAACATGCAGAAAACCACATCCCATGACCACTACACATGTGCCTAAATTTGCAAACACATCAACACTGGACCTTCACAACTCAGGTTGAAGAACACCCCTCATTCTGTTCCCTGGGAAAGAATCCATAAGAGCTTCCATGACTCGCTACTCCCAGGAGAGATTGGACACACTCAATAAGCTGCTGCCTTGTCTGCCCAGTACACCATCCTCCTTCGCTCTGGAATTTCTTAAGATTCTTTCCAATCGCTCTTTGCTCTCCCCTTTCTAAAGCAGATATTTCTCATCCTAACAAATTCTTCGTGGGATGAAGGAAAATGAATTAGTGTAACCATGATACCAGAACCACCATCACCACCACAACCACCACAGGTTCCTCATATTTAATGGGTCATCAAGCTCAGCTTGCTCTGCTGGGCCCAAAATTTCACTAGCTGCTTCCTGAAGTAAACAATTTGAAATCCCTGTCTCTGTCATCTGGCCATCCTACTGCTTTCTTGGAACTGGTAATCACCATGGTTAAACTCAAACAGATCTGCGATTGCAGCATTACACCCATGTACTTGTGAGCTGACAATGGCTGGACACCTCTACCTGGTCTCAATAAATGAAGTGTCTTGTCCTAAAATACTACAGATAATGAACACACATTTAAGAGGTTTTTAAGGCATTACAATATACAAAAACATAGTTTCACTGTCAATTTTGTAAGCTCAACTGAACCTTACATATGTCTGTCGATATTTGCTTAATTCTTGCATCTCCTGCCAACCAGGCTACCAATTGCGCAAAAATTGGATGTCAGATTATGATTGTTTCAATATTTTAAGTCAAGAAAACTGTTTCATTTATTGACGAGGGAATAGTGATGGAACCTAATTGTTGGTTTCTAAAACGCTTTGGGAAACAAAGATGAAGCTTTTCTAAGTATGTATTTTCTATGTATGTCAGAGCTTCCCATTTTCCCCATTTAGGAGTGACCTGACTTTTTTCATGTTCAAGGGCTAAAGTTATCAATAAGGAAAAACTTTGTGTTTGCTTTTGCATCCTACACAAAAGGTCCACATGTTAGTAGGGCTTTGTTTGCTCTTGCTGTTTTATTACTGTTGTATTTTGGGATTCTTTTGTTTTGGTTTGAAGCCACACTGGCTGTGCTGAGGAATTCCTTTGCACTCAGGAATTACTCTGGCGGTACTCAGGGTACCATCTGGGATGAAGAGGATGGAAGCCAGGTTGGCATATGCAAGGCAATGGCCCTCCCCCGCTGCACATTCACTCCGACCTCAAGTAGCAGTCTGAATGGTCCCAGGAGTCCTTTACCACCCTAGCTCTCAGCGTCCAGATCCGGAACCGATCTGGCGCAGGTGTGCGGCGCTGCCACAGCCTGGAGGAGACGCTCCCCCAGACAGCTGGAAAGTGCCACATCCCCCTCTGTTTAGTCTGACATAGGCATGGGTGCGACTATCCCAAAGAGGAGTCATTACACCCATAGCTTGTAGGACGTTGGCAGTTGCAGACCCCGCGAGAGATGCAGGTGCGCGTGCGTGTCCGTTACCTCTAACTGCTTAGAACCGAGCCAGGACAGCCCCAATGCGCGCGCACCTACAGGCTGCAGTGGTGCAAATGTCGGCCAGTCATGCACGAGATTGGTGGCTTTTCAGGCATAAGAAGGATTCAGTTAGAGACTGCAGAAGTTCATGCTGTGTGGATGGAGTCTCCTGAACAAGAGAGAAGCCGTTTGACCAATATAAAAAAATCAATACACATGCCAGCTGGTAGAACGTACATGTACTTTTAACCAGAGTGGAAATCAGTTATGAGTTCATAAAAATGAGATCCTTAGGGGTTTCAGTTCATAGTACATGTCTAGAAATATGTTAACAACAGAAATCCAGTTTGGTGTGGGAGAGAGCATTGTATTACAAGGCGAAGTTGAAGGGAACACCCAGCCATGCATTAAAAACACATCATTGAGCCTCTGGCAAAACTTATCTTTGAACCACTAAAGATATTCCTCGACTCAACATTATATTTAGGAGGCAAATCATCCATAAAATGTACTGCAAATGCAAAGAAGTAAGTTTGAGCTTCGTAGCTGTTTTAACATGAAACTTCATGGCTATTCCAGGAGGGATAATAGCTTCCAGTAGAAAGAAACTTTGAAAAAGCTAGTCAAACATGTTAGACAATTCTACATTACTTTCATTCCTAGGGATTGGACCCTAATGAAGGATTAGCAAAACAAACAAACAAAAAAGCAAAACCCACTGCGTTTGCTTGGGAAAACTCCTTTTAATTTTTGACCTCCATGGGTTCACAAGTCACAAATGACTGAATATTGCAAAGAAAGAGTAGACTCTGTTGAAGGAGGTCCACAGGAAGAGAGGAAGGAGAGAGATTTGAGGGGCACACAACTAGACTGGTGGATAAAGTATTGAGATACAGCGAAGACCAAGCCAACATGTGTGCTGAGAATCGGGAAACTTTGTCTAAGTGGCTGGAAGAGGCCATGTGAGCTGCTCTGCCATTGAGCAGTTTGAAGGAAAGTTCTGGTTCTGGCCGTCCAATCAGAGCCCTTCATGGAATGTTTCCCCAGCCAGGCCCACCTGGCCCTCCCCTCCCCCACTGCAGAATGTCTTGGGCTCAAGATTCTGAGGTTTGAATTCAAACTTCACCCTCACCCACTGGGATCCTGAGCGTCTGCGTGAGCAGTTCACTCTCTGATCCTGGTCCTGATTTTTGCCGTTGTGAAGGCTGATAAACTGCAGTGACCTCTGGCCACGTCTATGGCGATGGCTTCAGGAGGAGGTAAGCCTGTGAGAGTGTCTGTGTATGTGAGAAAGTCACTGTCACCCTGAAATCCTTTGGGTTCATAGTCACCCTGACTGGGAACACCATGTTTTGAGTGGGTGAAAGAGGAGAAAGACCTGGGCTCCATAGATATCTCACCTGTACAGCAAAGGGAGCCCAGGGGAACCTGAGGGGTCTGGGAGGGCATCCTTGGAGGTGTGTCAAATTACCTGGGGGAAGGTCATTGGTATGGACAGAGGGAGGCAGCAGGCATATGGCTGCTTTATATGTGAGTGTCCTGCTGGTGGATGGGGGAACAGGGCCATTTGTCATGTGTCTGGAGGGACTTTTTTGTGGTGGCACAGGAAAGACCCAGGCATGCTGAGTCCATGCCTCCTCCTGTGCTCTAGAATAAGTTTAGAATTAATTAGACTTGTGCTGAGCTCAACCTGATGTGGACAGCTCAGCACAGATGGTCCAGCCTGAACCTTGTTGAGTGAGGCTGTCTGTGTGTAATTCTGCCATGATGAGTCCTCCCCAGAGCTGGGTTGCAAGTGACTAACTGCCACAGTCAGAGCCTGACACTTCTACAGACTTAAACTCTCGGCTGGCTGAGCCCAGCAGCTGTCTTGGGTCAGCAGGTTGGGAGACAGGTGACTTCAGCGTAGTTACGACTCAGATTCCTGAGTTATTCTGGATTGTTCTCATTTTGGTGAAGTTTGTTCTTCCATGGTCTGGCATCTCATGGTGCAGGCCCAGCAAGCATTTCAGCTGTGAGGTGAAGATTGATTGAGAATTGGATACTTCCCTCACAGACAAGGAATAAATGGATGTGTGAGTCTATGTGTGAGTTTGTGAGAATGAGGTGTGTTTCTGTGTGTGTGTGTGTGTGTGTGTGTGATATGTGGGGTTTTCCTGAGAAAAGTCTGTGAAGGTCTGTTCCTTGGGGAGAGTTGGAGTGTACTGAGGCAGAAAGAGCATCGTCAGAGCAGTTGGAGACATCAGGGCCTCTGTCCTGAGCATGATGCGCACAGGCTCTGGGTCGTCTCTAGTGTGAGTCTCTGTGTGAATTCCACCTGAGTAACGATGGTGGCAGACAATTTTCTTTCCTGGCACCTGGTTTATGCCTGATGTTAATTATCCTGTATCTGTCTCTGGGATAAAGTCTTAGATTATTTAGAAGATGTTACCAATTTTCAATCTAACATGATCAGCAGCTCCAGAACTCTGGAAACATCCCCAAGTGTCTGACTGGTGAAATCTCTGGCCATTTCCGCACCTGCTGCCATCCCTGATGAAACTCTCCCAGAACACAAGAACCCTAGCCTTAGGATCTCCAAGAAGTATAACCCAGCTTGAGGGGAGGGATGGCCTGTGCCCGGGACTCAGGGCTGAGACAGGGCACACCACCTCATTCCTTTCAAAGGGCCTGATCTAGAGATGGTTGGGCCTGTGAGGCCTTGCTCCCCCCCACACCGTCTCCCTCTCACTCCCCTCCCTCCATTCCACAGTGTCTCCTGTGCTGCTCCCAGAGATGACCATGAACCTTGGGGTCTCCGGCTCTGCTTTCCGGGTCTTGCCCTTTCTCAATCCAGGGCTCCCCCAGCCACCACCCTGGGAGCCCATCCAGATGCCCCCTCTGGTGACCTCGGCCATTGCTCCTGGCAACCCTCTGGTACTGTCACCTTTCCCCATGGTGCCTGTGATGACAGGAGCTGCAAGCCATGGTCCCCGCGTTCCTGAACCTTGCAAGGTCATCATCCAGGTCAGCCCTGAGGTGGGGCTTGTGGAATCAGCCCAGAACCAGCCTGTCATCCTGACACAGGCTTCACTCAACTGGGGGGGCCCAGAAGTTCCATCTGCCGTGAATGGGCATCCTGCACCCGTCTACTTGGTGTCATCTGTGCCAGAGACCGTTATGCCGACCCCAGCTACTACTGTCACCCAGGCTGGGACAGGAGACCATCCTCCTCAGGCTCCACTGCCAGTGGCCCAGGTGGTTCCCATCATCCTCCCATCCAGTGGTGGATCACTGCCCCAGTGGGTTTGTGGGGAGACTGGTCCAGCCACCACCCGGAACCAGGCATCACCTGAAACCTCCAGCAGCCCCAGTAGCGTCTACGAGAACTTTCGGCGCTGGCAACGATTCAAGGCCCTGACCCGGAGGTACCTTCCTCAGACTCCGGACACTGAGGCTGTTTCCTGCTTCCTCATGTAAGTCCCTCAGGTGTCCTAGACCTAATGGGAGCTTCACAGGAAGGGACCGGGGTGACCCCCAGGGTAGGGTCCATGACAGCGTGACCTCAGGAATGTCACCCCGGGGTTTCGGCTCAAATCCCATAGTGACCAGTCATGCCCTAAAGCTTCAACTCAGTCTGCTCATCAGGGTTGGATCTGACCTGTGGTCTGTAGGACAGACATTCTGTTCCTAATACCAGACACAGCACAGATGCACCAGGGTTCAGACAGGCCATGACTGCTCGGCCTTGGCATCTCATGACGTATCCTCAGAGCTGAAGGATCACACCAGCATGGCCACTGAGCAGGGGTGTGGGAGGCAGAGTCAACTCTGCGCGGGGAGACCAGGCCGCCATCAGGGCTCTAGGCATGGGTGTAGGACAGCGGGGCCTCCTGGCAGATACAGACCCTGACCGAGCCTGTCCTTGCAGCCCGGTTCTGCGCACCCTCGCCTGCCTGAAGCCCACCATGAGCCTGGAGGAAGGCCTGCGCCGGGCCCTGCGGGAATGGGAGGGCACGAGCAATTTTGACCGCATGATCTACTACGACATGGCTGCCAAGTAAGTCAGTCCTGGGCAGAGACTGGGGGTTGGGGCTGGCTGCGGGACTGGGCTTCACGGGCTGCTCCCAGATGGCCAAGGCGTCCTTGGCATCCCCGGGAGGCCCTTCCCCTGTGGAAGCTTGTCCCTCCTGGGGCCGGGACACTTCTCCCCACCCCACTCTGGGGCTCCTGACCACAGTCTGAGGGTCACAGTCCCTTATTTTCTGTGACCCTCAAAATGATGATATGGGGAATCACTGGGGGAGCTAGGGTCTATGCCCACCCATTCTCCACCCTCCTGAGGGCTTGGCGGTGTGTGTTCCCTGTCCCTGCCTCATCCAGTATGGTCCAGGCCAGCCCATCTCAATGGGGTCTGTGCTCCCCATACCAGGTTCATGGAGTTTGAGGCTGAGGAAGAGATGGAAGCGCAGAAGCTGCAGTGGATGAATGGAGTACAGGGACTGCCAACCACTGCTCCACCCAGGCCTGAGCCTCAGGGGGCTCCAGGCCCACCACTAGGCCAGCAGCCAGGTACCGAGCCTGTTCCCCAGCTAATTTTCATAGGCCCAGGAAGGTGCTAGGGTTCCTGCCCTGCCAGGGAGCCTTCACTCTCCTGGGGACACCCAGGCCTATGCTCAGAGGCCCCCTGTTCCTGGGTTTCTCCCTCTCCCTGAACACAGCACACTGCCTGAGGGCGTCAGACTCACCTTTGAAGTGGGGTTGGAGACCCTGGGGACACGGTTGACCCCTCCTCCCTTTGAAGGCCTCCTCATCCCTCACGCAGTTATGGGATTCTAGTACACACAGATGTAGACACACACCTGACCTGACCCATCCCACAGGTATCCGTCCACATTTCTGTGCTCAGTGCTGTGTGTCTAAGGGCAATGGACGCGGGGTCCACTCACGTCCCTCTCCCCTTCTTCCTCCTCAGCCTGTGTCCCTAAGAAATCCAGACCCCGGGCTCGGGCAGCCTGCCCCAAGACGCACAAACCACAGCGGGCCCCCAAAACCAAGGCCCCCAAGGAGATCCCCCCTGAGACCGTGCAGAACATGGATATCATGGACGAGCAGCTAAAGGCCCCCGATACAGTCTGTGGGGCGCCCCTTGGCCGAAGGGCAGCGGGCAGGAAGGAGCAGCAGGAGGAGGCCGGGACCTGCCCTGAGCCGGGGCTCCTGAGCTATGTGTACGAGCTGTGCTCCCAGGAGGCCTTTGTCACCAAGGTGGGTTTTGGGTGCTGCTGTAGGGTGGGGAGGGCACAGGGTTGCTTCTGTCCAGGGCTTGGTAGTGACATATTTCTACTTGTGTTTGTGTGTATGTGTGCACATGTGTCTCCCTGTGTACAAACATTGGCCCTATTTTGAGAATTTCTGGGTTTGGTCAATGTGTGAACATCTCTGTGTGTCTCCATCTGTGTGTACTGTGTGGGCTCTGTGCAGAAACGTGTGGATACATGTACATGTGCCTAGAGGTGGAAAAGTGTGTGTCTTTGTGTCATGTGTGTACATGACAGAGACTTTGTGCAACCGTCCAAGACCCTGCACTGTGCTGAGAACGGGTGAGTTTGCATCTTAATTCCTTCCTAGTCCAAAGGAGAACCCTCACACCCGCTTCCCCCTCCCAGGTCGAGGCAGTCATTCACCCCAGCTTCCTGGCGCACCTACTCTCCCCAGAATCCCAGCTGGATCTCCTGGACCTGGCTGAGGAGCTCGAGGAGGAGGAAGGACTCACCCCCACACAGGTGAGGCACATAGGTCTCTGGGGTCCATGCAGGACCCAGGGGAATAATGTGAGGGTTTCCTGGAAGGCAATGGGTAGCGGCCCACGGCAAATAGGAGGTATTTTGCATGTGATTGCTGGGAAAGAGTCCCTGCAGGGGACACAGGGGACAGGTACCAGGGCACTCAGAGCAGCAGGTGGGTCATGAGTCAGGGAGGGGCGCCCAGCACTGGGGCCTAGTCACTTGGTGCCCTCCCTGCCCAGGCCATGGCCAGAGGCCTCCCTTTGAGTCCTCAGGGAAGATGAGGACGTGAATATGGGGTGAGGGAAGGGTTGGCGGGGGTGAGGGCCCTTAGTGGGACAGAGATCTTGGTTTTCTACTCTGGGAGGAGTCGCGGTCACTCTCTGTCCCACCCTGCACCCCCACATGCCCACACTCTCCTTCCTCCCTTCAGATTGTGGAAAAGCGTCTACGGACTGTGCTGGACAAGGAGGTCCAGAAGGCTTGTCCCCAACACCAGCTGACTCCAAAGGACTCAAGTCCATCTGAGAGTGCAGCAGGTCACTGCAACCCAACCCCTACCTGGGGCCATAATCCAGGGGCCAGCGCTGAATCCTGACCACCTGAGACTGACTTTGGACATGCCTCAAGGCCTGTGCAGGCTGAGGCCACTGGGATGGCACCTCGAGCCTCTGTCCTCTCTTTGGGGAGCCTGGAATCCCCATCCCTTCAGGCAGAACAGGCCCCCTTTCCGGGACTCGCTGCCCCTACTCTGGACAACAGGGTCTCCCTCATGCTGGGAGAGGCCCCTCCTGGCCAGGGGCCACATGGGGCAGCAGAGGGCTCCAGTGAGGAGGAGGAGGAGGAGCTGCCCTGCCTGGCCTTCCTCCAGGCCTCTCAACACAGCCTTCTGCCCTGGGGCTTCCCCATGAGACCTGGCTCAGACACTGGCCCCTGCTGCCCGAGGGCCTGGGGGGCTTCTCCGCCCCAACCCACTCACAGAAGGGCCTGCAATCCTGCTGCCCCTGCTACTGCCCCTTCCAGGAAGCGGCCTCTGTGTGGGAGCGCAGGACTGGGTACTACTGAGAAGACCCCCTTCCCTGGGGAGCACCCCAGGGTGTCTGGGGGCTCAGCCTTGACTGTGGAGCTGGTGGGCCCTTCCCTGCCCCCAAAGAGAAGGTTCCAGCCTGCTCTAGCCCAGAGGAGTACAATACAGAATGGGTACAGCATCCAGTAGGAGACCAGGGGCCTCCCTCCTGAGCCTGGCTGCCCCTAACAACCTTGTCTTCCACCTGATCTTCATCCAGCTAGGACTTCTCTGTATTGTTTGGCGGGCCCAGTGGTGGGGTTTTGCTGGAGCAGCCCCTTTGTGTCATTGTGTAAATAGTTAATAAATTTCATTACATTGAAAACTCTTGGTATCTCCTGTCGCTCATGCTCCTTGGACAATCCTGAGATGAAAACAGGTAAGGGCGTTACAGGGTTTGGGTCCTGTGAGACATTGTACTCCCTGGAGCAGGGATGAGTCCTCCCCACCCTTAGGGAGATGTGCTCAGTTTCAGCAGACCCACCCAATTCTGTGGACATAGGCGAGGCTCACGTTTGCTGTCTTTTCCTTGGAATGCATCAAAAAGCACATCAAAGATTGAGGGCATCACGCTGGGAAAAATCACAGCATGGGAGAGAGCAACACAAAGGAGCTTTCACAGATGTGGGAGACAGACTGTTTCCATTTCTTCCCTGAGTTCGTGGCTCACACCCAACAGTGACTGCTCTACAGAGCTCCTTGTTCTAGGACACACTCCTGGTATAGCTCAGGGGACAACGTGGTGCTAGACATCAGTAGAACGAGGGCTGTGCACATGCAACACAAGCACCTTAATGTGTATACAATTTTCCCAATTCTCAGCATTCCATTTGTTTTAGTGTCACACAAAATGGTTCCTGGAGCTTACTCTGGCTCTGCCCAGGACGTACTCCTTTCTGGACTCAGGGGACCATATGGAGTGCCAGGAATCAAATCCAGGTTGGCCATGTTCAAAGCAACTGCCCCATCAGCTGTACTACTTCTTCAGTTCCAAAATACCTTTTAAAACAATTTCACCACACTTTAAAATAGAGCTCGTATCCTCAGAAGGTGTCCATAACCTCCTCCACTCAGCCATCACACTTTCTCTTCCCATTAATCCTTGAGTCTTGAACCCCATATTCCTTTCTTTCTCTAGATTGCCACACTCTGGCTGTCTAGCTTTATGTGGCCTCTTTCACTGAGAACAGCTTTTCCTGGTCCACCTACATCAGCTCATATCCACAGTTCAAACGTTAACTACAAAATCATATTCCATGTGCAGAAGGGCTACATCTGGCAATTCCTTCAATGGTTGATGAACAATGAGCTTCTTTCTACTCCCTTGTACTAGCTAACAGCAGATGCGCAGATTTAAAGTGAGCTTCTCAAAGAATTTTATTGAGAACGAAAGCCTGGGAAAAACCCTCTCACTGCTGGCAGAGAACCCCAAATTTGGGATTGTGGGGTAGGGATTTTATGCACTGTGTAATGCACCCTAAGCACGAAGGTTCTGATAACTGTATTAGGGATGCAACGATTTTTGTTATCCAGAGAACATGTGTCCTCTCTTGGTGTTTTCTTTACACTAAGACAAACAGCAAGGTCCTTAATCTTTCCTTGTCTGTCCTGTCTCGACTTCTGGAACTGAGCATGGTGTCCTGAACCTGCAGTTTTCTTTATCCCTGATAGTTCAGGATCTATATTGCCTTTGGTGCTCTGTTACTTTCTGCCTATTTGGAGACAGTTCAAAATCACAGGTAGTTCCTGTCAGGAATGGGTTTTTTTTTGGTACGCAAAATAATTTTTTAAATTTTATTTTCATAAAGTTATTCACAATAATGGATTACATTCAATATTTCAATCCCACCACCATTACACCATCCCAACACAATTATTTCTAAGTTTACCACCACCACCACTCAAGCCTGCCTAAGAGACAGATACTTTATTTTGTATAGCTTATTATGAATAGCATGAGAAATCACATGGCCACAAAAGTGGCTGCACGCCCTGGAATTCTACAATTTTAAATAATTAGTGTCCGAAGAAATCTCGATTCTGAGATTCATTTTTAAATCTCTGGATCATGGCCATTACTGAGCTTAAATGGCACAAGGAGGAAGGCCGTTCATGAGCGTGACATAGAGGCGAGGAGATGGGAAGGAGCAGCTGTCCCTGATCCCTTGAGGACTAGAGTTAGCAGTCACTGGTCTCACATACCTGGGTTTTCCATTGGGCTCTGGATTCGTCAGGGGCAGGTGGAGGGACAACACCTGCCCCTGTCTGAGGCACCCTGGTGAAATCGGCCTGCTGCAACATCAGCAAGCTGATCTCTTCATCACTTCAGCAAGCTTCCTGGATCCGAAATTCATTTCTTGTTGGAAATGTTTTAGGGTAACCTTGAGGCTCCTCCACAGTACCAGTAGCTTCTGGTGTGAAGTGGCTCAACATGCCTCATCTTGCATTTGGTCCCTAGAAGCAAGAACAGTTCCTGGGCACCACACCAGTTTTGTTCTACACTCTCTAAAACTGTGATCACTGTGGAAGAAATGAAGTATGTCCAGACTCTATGGCACATCTGAAACAAGGTGGTCAGACCTTTCTACTGTTCCTGCATGCTCCTTTATGGGCACACAAAGTCCAGCATCCAGACTTCAGAGCAGATCAGCTGCCCTGAAGGGGACCCAGATACAGCAGCGGGGCCTGTGCTCATTCCCATAGACTAGCCCATAACCTTCAAGTTGTTCCTGTTGGCGAGCTCCTTGCCACCTGGCCCCACTTCAGCAAGCACTGGGAGTTTAAACAACACTGACCTGTCTGGAGAAAGCACTGCTCTCCACTGGGGAACACTGAGGAAGCCCTGCAGTCACAGTCAGGGAGCTGAGGGGTCCCTGGGCTCTTCCTCCTCCATGGAGCAGACCCTAGAGGGGCAGCTGGGCTGTGGAGCTGGGTTGGATGGAGGAGACTCTGAGGTGGTGATGCTGATGAAGTACCTGAAAAGTTGGATCAAGCATCTGGAAAGCCCTGGGGACCTGGCTTTTACCTGTTAGAGCAGGGATGGCAGCTTGCTGAGACCAGCTCTTCATTCCTCTGAAGTGGGAGGGGTGTGAGGGTGGAGAAGGGTCTATGTGGGGCTTGGGAGGTATTAACACAGTCAGCTCCCAAGAAAATGCACATCTCAAAATCCCTGGAGAGGGGGCCATGTTTTATGTGACCAGGATAAAGACTGAGGAGTGCATTTTCATGGGATAGGTGGAAAACAAAGGTCTCATTATCAGGCCTTGAGGATCCTGGAGCCCCAGAAGAGTCTCGCTGTTTGTGTCAAGTTCTTGCGATTGGGTTGTGTCAGACTAAAGCCATCCCAGAGCACATACAGGTACACCTGTGACCGAGCCTGGAAAACACTTGCAGGTGTTCCTTGCATTGTTCGTGCTTTGGCAGGCTTTGGTGCCCTCTTTGCCCAGGTCCTGTGCTCTCTGTATGTGTTGTCTCCAAAACAGGCCACCTGGGATAGGCTCCGGAAATGGGAGCTGCCTCTGCAGTGGCCAAAGGGCCGTGTTCCACACCCCACAGTTGGAACAGCTCTGGTGAGGGTCCAAACTGCACATCCAGTTGTGGTCTAGGTAAGGGCTCAGGCACTGGATCATGGAAGGGAAAACAAAACCCACACCAGAGCTAGGTGAGAAGAGTTTCTGCAAACCTGTGTAGGCAGGTTCAAGCTGTGCCCGGGCTAGGGACTTACATGAGTAGATGGTCCTCAACTCTGTGCCAGAGGAGAGCTCCTGTCGAACCCTTACTTGATGGGGCTGGATCAAACCCAGGTTCTAGTAGAAACTTGGTATGTGGATGACTCTAGTTATGGCCAGCCAGATGGAGGCCAGTGTTAATCCAGCCTTCTACAGAGAGGATTTGCTGTGGTCCCAAGAGGAGGTAATGCGTGCCCTCGGCCGGGACATGCATTCTTGGCCTCCCTGCGAGTTGCCAGGCTGGGCTCTGCTGAGGGACCTGTGACTCAATGCTGCCCAGGAGACACAGGGACTGGTTACATGTCACCCGGTGGCTGCCTGCCAGGTTACTGCATGCTGGCTCCAGAGCTCTATGGGCGGTAAATCGGGCTTGGTTTGACTCCTCCACCCTGGAGAACGAAGCAGTGCTATGGGCCTCAAAGGTGTTTCCAATGATCAGACCCATTGACAGGGACAGCTCAAACAAAAATACACAAATGGGACTTCATAAAATTAAAAAGCTTCTGCCTAGCTAACAACATGGTCTACAACGAAAGGACACCAGACTGAATTGGTAATAATATTCATGTGCAACACATCAGGTAAATATGAATATCCAAGATCTATAAAGTACTCAAGAGGACTCACCCCCCTCCCCCAATTCACAAACCTTATTTAAAAATTGTGAGAGGAAAGAAATAGACGCAT